TAAAGGTTGATAGATTGTAATTGTTGAATTTTACTAAATCAAGGATTCCAAATTTACTACAAATTGCACTGGACTTCCTGGTACTACACTTTTTCTTTGAAACGACAAATTATTTTTTACTGTGTATAATCCAAACTTTACGGAATCCTTAACTAATGATGACCTCCAAAACCCTTACGCTTTTAAAAAAAAAATATGAATACGGCTTTTATTGTATTACCTGTTGTATTATTACAAATATCGGACAAGTTGTCCCTAGGTCTTCATTATCGGGTTTGACGCAGGTTATAAGAAATAATGGCACGCGGCTAGGAGCTTCTTTCCCCACTCACTAGACCTGATCTCGTTGCATATTTTATCAATATCGGTTAGTATCCTAGGTGTGGTAGCCGTTCGGAGCATAGAAACGAACGTTGTATACAAGAGAAGATATAATAATGCCCAACACATCAACCAATGTTATGTCGCAGGTATTATAAAGCCATTTATACGAAACCTTGAGAAAAAACAATGAGAAGCTAGTAACAACCTATTTATATCTATATTCGTATTTTGACATCAGCTGTATCAGAGATACGACGGCACATTATGCCGTTACAGTAAAATATGAATGTAAATTCCCGTGAATTACAACTCAAGTAGCAAGTAACTACTACTAGAAGCAAAGCACGATGCAAATAAAATCTTAGATGAGCAAATATGAAACTGAAACAAGAATAAATTTATGTGTATAGACTTCGCATAATAAAACCATAATTTGATGCTATTTTGTTGCCGAGTTATTGTCAAGAAACTGATTTGGTTGCATTGATATACTACCAAAAGCATGTAAATGATTTACGTTAGCAGGCTTACACCTACAGTGGAGACTTCACGGCTGAAGTCTTCAGTATGATAATTATTATTGGATTTTAGGTTTTTGGCGGTTGTCTTTCGAAATTTCTTTCCCAAGTCCCCTAACAGAGGAATAACTTCTCTTGATTATTCTTGCCTCACCTAGAAGCGAAACGTCGGGTAACTGCCCAAAAGAGGGAAACATTGACTGAAGACGGCAGCCGTGAAAAAATAAAATTACATGCTATATTTATAGACCTGATATAAACAGGATTAGACTTAGAGGACCTAAAGTTAGCAGACTGCGAAAATTTGATTTACACTTTATCAAGGTGTTTAATTACATTACATAATCAAAACACTAACATTTCACCTTAATAAATGGTATTAAAGAAGTCGTATTAGGCTATTTTCTTGTTTTTGTGATGCTGGGGAAATAACAGAAGTAAATATTCTGGAAATATTGATCAATTTAAAATAATAAATATGGCAAATAATTGAAATACCACACGTGCTAACATACAAGAAATATTATCTGCACTCTGGATCTCATTCACCACAAGATTACTACGAAACGTTGTCAAAAAGTCAACAAAAACAAAGATTATTGTAATTATAGACAAGTAGTTTCACGTACAATAGCAATTACCTTTATCGTTTATTGGCAGTAGATTATTTCCCATTAAAGACCACTTAAGTATAACGTTATACAAAGATAGATTAACTAACTTAATTAAAAACAAAAATTATTTTTTTTTGTACCGTTAATTAGTTTTTTTTAGTGAGTGGGTAAACAGTGAAATTTCCTGGAGATGAACAAACAAAGCTTGCGGCAAGTTACTTTTCGAGAATCCGGTGACAAAGGGAATGGTCAAAAGTTTAGAAACACGTAACAAATTCCAAAACGTAATCGTAACCTTGACGGAAGGTGAACTGAGAGACGCTTATCTGGATGAGGAAGGTACTGTCGTTTTCAAGGGGTATTATTTAGAGATCACTCGGGCTTGTACTTGGAAGGAGGTGGTTCCCCACTAGGAGGGTATTCGTTTTTTTAAGACGAACTCAATATCTGATGCTTGGGAACTTTGGAATAATTCGTTAATCGATATTTTTAGTTTAAAAATCGTGGTCCGAAATCGGGTATGTGAATTAATAATAATAGTTGGACTGAAATGTAATTGAAGATTTAGGCAAATTGAACCGATATTTAAATATAATGCGAATTCACATGGGAAGGGTGGGAAATCCAGAAACCGAACAAGTCTGTGGATAAACAGGGAAGCCAAAGTGGGCACGAATCTTGCGCATACTGCAACAGTATCGGATTTCGAAATAGATTTAATCTTGAAAAAATTTGCCGCGTGAAAATTGCAAACCAGAGGGAAAATAAAATGGGAAGATCAAAGTAGCTAACAGTTTGGAAATTCAAGATATAGATCTTTCTCCAAATAAGCAAAAAAACGAGCAGTAACGACACTTATACAACTAAATGTCCTCGTGGTTGGTCAACCGGCTGTTGGTCTTTTAGGGATATTAAGGTGAAACGACAAAATAAAACAAATGAAATCAAACGGGACTAACAACTTAACAATATATTTAGAAAACTGGAACAATGAAATTAGAAGTGAAAAAACTGAGAATAAAACTAGTTGAAGACTTAGCAGATTAATTGAATTGAACTGTAGAAAACCGAATTAGGAAGTGTTAATGTTTTGGAAATGAAAATGTTAGGAAAACTATTAGGGCGGAGCTAGAATCATTTAGATGAAAGGAGGGAACCAATTAGAAGAGAATAAAATCTGGAAATGTGAATATACAAAATACTAAGAAATAGACAGATAGATAGAAACCGCTGAAGAAACCTATCATTAAAAATCAATTAAGAAGGGACAATAGTTATTGACATCATGCAGTTAGTACGTGAAGTTGAAATGTTAAAAGGGATTATAGAAAAGTCCAAGTAAAAAAGTTATTTACAGAGAACACAGTAGATAGGTACATACACAAAAGATTTGAAATAGAAATATTAAGACAGATATTTACATAATGCAGTTAGTACGTGAAGTTGAAATGTTAAAAGGGATTCTAGAAAAGTCCAAGTAATAAAGTTATTTGCAGAGAACACAGTAGATAGGTACATACACAAAAGATTTGAAATAGAAATATTAAGACAGATATTTACATAATGAGAATAACAGAACAATACAACACAATTTGAACAGAAAAGTTGAAAAGATATTTACAAACAAGAATAATAAAAATAGAAATATGTACAGAAATATTTAAACATGATTTGGCGGCCAGGTATGCGCGGCCACAGTACCCCCCCTGCCAGTGATTGAGATCACGAAACTTGTAGACGATCCGGGAATCGGACACGTCTTCCAGAACGTGTACAACGGGTTGATGGTTGCTTGACAGAATTGCTGGATGTGGATGGCTTGTTTGATGACGTCACTTCCGTTGATAGGGGTACTGGTTTGACATTATCATCATCGTCCGTCNCACTTGATACAGGAACTGTAAAAGATTATGGGGGCACCATAAAACTCACTGAGAATAAATTAGTATATAGCGAGAAAAACATATAGATGCTCCTTACAAGATCAAGCCGAGATAGAAAAATAAAATTTGGGCTGACTAAGGATTCAAGTAGCCCGTGTATTGATTTGTTCGCAAAGCCAGCGTTTCCTACGAATTAACGAATTAATTTTACGAGCGAGATGTAAATAGAAAGACAAATACAAAACAGCTTTTGCAACCCACCACGGCCATCAGCAGTGGTCATATTTCAAAGAATTTTATCGAGTATAATGATGAAAAACAATTTAAACTGACTTGCAATAAATCATATCGATGATGTTTTGATCTACTTGAATAATTACAGTGTACCTTTAAAACAAATTAAATAAATAAGATATTTGATTCTCGAGATAGGGAGTAATTGTGTGAAACCTTTAATTAAAAACGTGGCGGCGATTAAAAATATCAGAAAATTTCTTGGAAAAGTACATTTTTATTCAGAGTACATTCCAAGGTCATGCAGAGCATAAGAGCCGTTGTATAATCTGTTGAGGAAAAACGTAAAATCCATCTGGTCAGAAAAATGCCAGAAAAGTTTTGAGAAAGTAGTAGAATAGTTTATGTTCCGATCCGATCCTTGGTGCGTTAAAGCAACCTCAACCAAATAAATCGATAAAACCAGTTTTCTACTTTTCCCCGTAAATAGACAAATTTTCAAAAGTCAAAGAAAGCAATCTATATTGAATGCGTTACTATAAAAGAGGCCATTCTACACTGGCAATATTACTTAATTGGGCAAAAGTTTACTATTTTTAGTGATCATAAACCGCTGGAAAATTTTAACACAAAAAATTGTGAAATTAAAGAAAACATTATTTACAAAACATTAAATAATAAGAAGAAAACTTGGTTGTCCGAACGACATTTACAAAATTAATAAGTATTATAAATATGTATGTATCTATACATAGGCTAGTACAAATTTCTAGGTTTCTATTGCACTAAAGACACAAAAACTGCAATAAAAGCAGACGTTTAAATCTCCTAGAAATTTTGTAAATATCAAATGCTGTAACACAACACAACACAAACAAGTAACGAATGACCAAACCTATTTTGCGATTTCCCAGTTACTAATATTGATATAAATTTGCTTTTAAAAAAGAAAGTTCGTTTACAATTGAGTGAAAATTTTGAACATAAATATAATATTTATTTGTATAAGAGCAATTCATATGTTTTTTGAAATAACACCTGAATTCTTATCCATAATAACAGGAAGAAGAGGAACAACCCACCGCACCGCACCGCACGGCCAAGATGACGAGGACATCATCCAACTAAAGGGGAGAAGTTACAGTTGCATTCTATTCGATAGAGAAATTATAGAAGTAGTAGGAATCAACCAAACAACAGCAATACTACAGAAGGTAAAAGAAGACCTTTTACCGAAAACCCTATTAAAAACGTCATAAAACGTCACTTTTTTAATTAACGAATGTTGTATAAAAACTCATTGTCGTAATTATGATATTATCTTAGTTCTCTGTACGAATCAATGAATAAGTGAAAGTGTAATCTTAAGTGTTTTAATCCTTTTGTTTAAAACAAAAACACGATCGCGATATATATATATGGATATATGTACCTCCTGAAAAATATAACATTATTCTACTTTGGTTGTTACAAGTTAAAAGAAGTAAAAATGTTTCGCCTACCTATAACGATTGTTGTTCTTGCTTTAATTTCGTTCAGTTATTCACAAGTCACTTCATCAGGCCAATGTGGTGACAGAACTAGTGTAAGACATATGAAAAATTTCAATTTGGAGCGGGTAAGTTAATTGTTATTTAGAATTAAAAGATATAAACATTTAATTGATTCATTTTTTTTAAGTTTTCAGGTAATAATGCGTCATGGTACCTGGTGTATTCACTCAGCGCCGCCAATTGCGAAATCATAAATTACGCTGTAACAAGTAACGTTACTCTACATATGATTAGCCAACTAAAAAATTTAAGACTTGGTACTAATGGTGCATGGTTGGAAAGGTACGGTGAAGTTACTTGGCAACCGGGTAGTAACAGACGAGGTGTTCTAAGTCTGGTTTTAGGCAATGTTGCCGCTCCTTTCATATTTAGAGTACTTGGAACTGATTACGTTAACTACAACATTCAGTACAGATGCATCAATGTAGATAGCTCAACCAAAAGGGGTAAGAATAAGAGTATACATTGTATTTTAATGTAAAGCTGTAAATCGTAGGATTTACTTACGTGAGCTGATAGTTGTAAGGTGTGGTGCTACACGATGTTTCTTTCGGGTTTATACCATTAGAATTTAGTACCTACATGTCGACTTTTATCAATTACAATTAGTAAAATTGTAATATATAGTATATTTAATTAGAAATTTTTAATTAAACATTACAATAATTTTGAGTTAAGTTACCTACACAATTTTAAACCATTTTTAAGAAGTAAAGTTTAGTAATATTAAAAAAAAAAGCAAAGAGAGAGATGAAATACAAAATCGAGTCTTCCGGTTGAAGGAGAATAGTTTTTTACTAACATTTACCGACATTCGGGGTTTTGCGTATAACGTATAGACAGAACGATTTTGTTCACAATATTAATATTTAAATAAGTCGTTGTACTTACATCGTCATTTACAAATATTTACTGATAAATGCAGTATTTCATAGTGTTTGACAACGGCATTACGAAAGTATCTAATTGCCAAACTTATAACTTTATATTAAATTAGAAAAACAACTATTAAGTATAGATATAAAAGTCATTGAGTAAAAGAATGTCAGATGCATTCAAATAGACTTTATCTTTAAACCACCTTAACACACTTCTAATTCTGACTGTCGTTATTGTTAACTTTATTATTTAAATGAGTGCTAGCTGACGTACATACCGAGTGGTACCTAAATGTTAATGACACAATTTTAAATATTTGATCTAGACGTGTTACTCTTTAATATATTATGTATTTATTCAATTTCCATTAGAATTTCTGTATGTGATGAGCCGGAGGAATGCCCTATCAACCTCAATGGATGGTTTAGTTCAACGAATTATTCGAGCTAACGGTCTTGGTGGATTATCACAGGGAGATTTTTTGAATCAAAGTTTTCGTTTACAGATTACCATTGCAATGTGAATTATAATGTATGTATATGTATGTAAATATATATCACATAATCTTACTAGTTTTGAAATAAATTAGCAATAATAGTAATAATAATAATGCTTCTGAAAAAGGCGAAACAATTGTAACGTTTTTATTAATATATTTGTGGAAATTAATTTGTGTTTGTTTATTTATTAAGTGTTCATGAATTTCCATCAAGAAAACATAGGTACNTGCTACAAAGGAGGTAGAGGTTCTAAAGAACAGTTAGTGATAGACTCAGAAGTACACACACAATGTAGACGGCGAAATAGAAATTTATATTATGCCTATATTGACTATCAAAAAGCCTATGATAGTGTTCCACACTCTTGGTTACTTCATGTACTTAAAATATATAAAATTAATGATAAAATAATTAATTTTCTACAACACATAATGCAAAAATGGAGCACAACACTAAACCTTAAAACAGAAACTGAATACCTCAACAGTCCACAGATAACTATATCACGTGGTATCTTCCAAGGTGATTCATTGAGTCCTCTATGGTTCTGCTTAGCTTTGAATCCATTGTCAAACAATCTTCACAAAAGTAAATACGGCTATGTAATTGATAGGAATAGTTCAACAATATTAAGTCATTTAGTATATATGGACGACATAAAACTATTTGGCGCCTCCAGACAACAGTTAAACAATTTATTGAAAATTACAGAAACATTTAGTACCGATATAAGAATGAAATTTGGACTTGATAAATGTAAAATAAACAGTATTGTAAAAGGAAAACACCAAACGCAACCACCATACAATTTAGAACAAAAAATGGATACAATACAAAGTCTTGATAAACATGAAACTTATAGGTACTTGGGCTATAATCAAAGTCGAAATATAGATCATACTAAAATTAAATCAGAATTAACTAACAAATACACAACTAGGTTAAACAAAATACTTAAAACACTTCTATCAGGTAGAAACAAAGTTAAAGCTATTAACACATATGCCATACCGGTACCCACTTACTCCTTCGGGATAATTCGTTGGTCTGATACTGATTTAGACTCACTTACTAGAAATAAGTGCAACAAATACAACATGCACCACATACACTCTCCTGTTGAAAGGTTTACAATCAAAAGACAGTTAGGTGGAAGAGGAATAATTGATATTAAAAATCTACACTATAAACAGATTATTAATTTGCGATCATATTTTACAGCAAGAAGTGCTGATAGTTCGTTACATGATTCATTCTGTGTCATTTCAACCTCTGGTACATCACTAAACCTTAATAATGTAGATTTTAATCCTGAGGACAAAATTATGAAAGAAAAATTAAAAATTGAAGTGTGGAAATCAAAAGTGCTTCATGGAAAATACCCGAACTAACAACAGCAGGAACATGTAGATACAGAAGCTTCTAATATGTGGTTAAAAAAAGGAAACATATTCTCAGAAACTGAGGGATTCATGATAGCGATTCAGGACAAAATAATAAAAACAAAAAACTATGAAAAATATATTATTAAAAATCCCACAATTTCATCAGACACATGCCGAGCATGCAACACATCCAGCGAAACATTGACCACACCACTGGCGGTTGCTCATTTTTAGCTAATGTTGCTAAACAGATACACTTGCTGTTAGCCCAAAAAGTTTAAACTCATAGAACAGATAGAGCCCTACTACAAATACAAACCTAGCTGAGTTGAAACTGCATAAGTTTACGTACATAAGTCTACAGAAATCCGTAATTCTTGATACATGCGGAATAGTGCGCAGATTTCTTAACAGTACTGACATATACCCCTTTTCAGAAAACACAACAGGTTAATTAAGAAGCGGAGTTTTTAATACTCACTGATCATTTTTCAGGGCAAGAAGATACGTTAGCTCCCAAAATTTTAAGAACAGAAAATTGGTTTGTATATCCCAAAAGATGTGAGTAGGGTTCTCTGGCATGGGCCCGTCTTCACTTGTTCAAAGTTACCAGTGAAAACTGAGAAGACCAGGAGAATAATAATAGTAACGTACAAACGAATAATAATTATAATAATAATAAAAGGATTCTACAAGTGAAAGAAGTAAATACAATAAAGATTGAAATATGAACACGACCATAGAAACAATGTACATATAAAAACCTACAAAGGTCAATACTGGAAGAACATCGTTCTTCAAAAAATAAATTGCAAGTAAGTACAAAATAAAATTGTGTTGAGGACGCTACTAGTTTTCATTCAAAGCAGACGTGTATTAGCTTTGTAAATAAATATATAGTGTTAAGTGTAAATACAAATGTATAAGACAGATACACGTCAGTGAATAAAGTAGACTCAAGCTCCAATTATTAATATGAGAAGCCTGGACCTCATCCAAGATGGAGAACGGAGGAGTTTTTCACCGCTCAACCCAAGAAAGTAACATAGATTCTCAAAATGCATCGTATTCAGAAGCTGCACAGCGCAACACCTCCCCACAGAAGAATAAAGCCATAGTCATCGAAGCAATCGAAGGTATTCAAACAAAGGAATATATTATTCAAGTAGCTTATCTAATAGACGTTCAATGCATAATTTATGTCTCTAAAATCCCAAACGATAGAGTGTGCATATTCCTAGCATCCAAAGAGAACGTAGACCAACTCACTTTAACACCCAAACACATTAAAATAAGGAACCAATCTCTGTTGATTAGACCGTTAATAGCAAAAAACAAACGCGTAGTATTCTCTAATGTCTGCCTAATTATCCTCTACCAGGTGATAGATAACATATTAAAAGTATTAAATATAAGAACAACATATGCAGTAACTTCAATCAGAGCTGGATACTCACAACAACACTTATCCCACATCCTCAGTTTTCCTAGACAAGCATACTTACATCCAGACGACACTAGCAAACTACCTAGCATGATTAAAATTACACATGGAAATACCACGTACTGGATATACACCTCGGTAGATCAAATCGTATGCTTCAATTGCAAAAAGGAAGGACACCTGGCTAAGGATTGTCGGGTCGATAGCTCACCAATGTTCGGAAATAACAACCTTGTAAACACAACAACTATAAACGATAATAACAGTCAACAAACTACAAGTTATGATAATGAACTCCCCCTCTCATAAGCAATTTTCAGACAATCTCTCCTCGAAATAATGAGCTCTCCCCCCAGGCAGATGACTCGTAAATGACCATTGACAACCTCCGAAATTCTAAAATAAACACTGCAAACCCAAATACCTTATCAATGGAAGTAGATACACAAGAATTAAAAACTAAAAAACGACTACTATCAGTAGCAACTACCAGCCAAGCTGATGAATCAATCCCAACCGACACAGATACACCTCAACCAGAAACCCCAGAAGAAAAATTTGCAAAACCAAAGGAAACCAATGTCCCAATGAAAAAGAAACAGAAGACATATAGGCTTCTGAAGTAATACTGGACCTCCAGCATCTAGAAGCCACCCTCAATAAATCCAATTCCATATACCACTTAAACTCCCAGTTCAAATATCTCCTGGAAAACATGAAAGGAAAAATAGATGCAAGTTCAATAGTATAAAAAAATGTTAAAGGTTCTATACTTTAGTCTTACCTCGAAATCAATGAAAAACAACCTTACAAGGCTCATTAAAATACTCAACAAAATAAACAATAGTGACTCATCAAATGAATCGTAGCAGCCGAAGAAGTTAACAAACAGAAATGGCGCAATTCAATGGAACTTAAATAGATTCAATAGACACCAAGAACAGTTACATATATTATAAGAACAAAGGCTTTCACGGCCGGAATCCATAGTAGAATGAAGATTCGGGCTATAGGGCCGTGGTCTAAGTGAACTATTCTGTTCCGACATTTCGTCAGCTTCTGCGGCTGACATCCTCAGTGGTAGTGCTGCGTTGATAACGTGAACGTAGATTACTTGTGGAAGTCTCGAGTGTCTATTCACTCAACAGTAGGATACTCGAGTGAGTGACTACAATCAAAGGCCTGGGAGTTTATTTTGACGAGAAGTTAACTTTCGAACATCACAGAGATTTTATTACAAACAAGTCCTTGCAGCTCCTGGGCTTTATTAGAAGAACTTGTATTGACTTTACATCTTCACGGGTGTTGCGAACACTTACCTTGCATTGATGAGACCGACTCTTATGTTTGCCTCTATGATTTGGTCCCCTTTTTCTTCCAGTCATTCCAACCCATTTGAGACCGCTCAACACAAGTTCTTCAGAATACTTGCGCCGCGCGTGAATTTACCTGATCCGTTTATAACACATAACTATAGCGAGATATCCGCTCAAACACGTTTACCAACGTTGAAATCTCTTCGCGAATTACAAGATGTAAAATTACTACTCAAACTTTGCAATGGTACAACTGACTGTAACTTACTCCTTAGTAAACTCAACTTCAGAGTTCACCGCTCAGGTTCGCGAAACAGAGACACTTTTAATTTAGATTATTTCAACACGCTATATACCGGTAATAATCCTCTAACGAGAATGTGTAAATTAGTCAACAATCTAGAGATTGGTTTCATCCAAACAAATGACTGTTATCTAACTAAATTTATCTCCGATGTCATCTTGAAAAATGAGTAACCAGTCGATCGATTTTTGATCTCTTATACTGTATTATACAATATTATATTTTACCATTATAACATTTTCTTTTTTTGTTTAAAATGGACAATAAGTCCGTATGGTAATAATTAATAAATAAATAAATAAATAATTACTCCCCCATCAAAAAATTTTCAACACAACTACTGACCATGCCAGTGGTGGAGTAACCACATATGTTCCAGACACAATTCCTCAACTAGAGGTTCCATTGAATACTGACCTTGAAGCTGTAGAAGTCTCAGTACATAGTACAACAAATTTTACAATATGTAAAATATACCTTCCAAATAGCAGAGAAATTTCATTACCAGACTTAACATATTTATCAAACCAACTTCCTAAATCCTATATAATATGAGGTTACCTTAAAGGGCACAATGAAATTTGGGGCTGCAATCACACTAGCAAATGTCATGACGCATT